GGCGCGACGTGATCCAACCTGAAGATGAATGATCGGGCAGACGCCTTTGTCCGGACCTTCAGTCGGTAAGATGTGGTTATGTGGCCCCACCTGATGGGCAAAATACCGTTGACCTACTTAATTATTTAAGGTTGGTGTGATTACGCTGGCATGGCGTTGCTGTGCGTTGCGGTGTGCGTTCTGTTGGCGACCTTGCTTCTTTGTTGCCGTGTCTACCTTTTTTCGGCCCAATGCCGGTGGTCCTTCTTGACTTTCGCCCTGTCGTCTCCCCTCTAACTTTCGCGTTGGATGTTTCAGGGTTAGGATTTAGGGCTGCGGTTAAGGTTCAGGGTTAGGGTTAGGATTAGGGGTCAGCACTTAGTGTTTGGGATTATGGTTAGGGATTAGGGTTGGGGGTTAGAGCTAGGGGTTAGTGTTAGGGGCCAGGTTTAGGGGTTAGGGTCAGGGATTGGGGCAACTATTTGTCATCCACTCAAAGTACAACCGCGCATTCTCAATTTCTTTTCTTTTACATACAACTAGTTAACCTCGTCGCCTGTGTGTTTCCCGGCCCCACCTGTAAAAAGCCCTTTTACCACCGGTCCCGGATTACAGATTGCTGGGGTCTGCTTCCCTCAGGTGCGGCTACATAACCACATCTGACTCTTGAATCTTGACGAGTACCTTTTGTCCTGTCTATTAATGTGTGTATAGTCGGTTTTACACATCTTTGATACACCCACGTCTTGTCAGTTGGTCTTATGGCATGAACTGACGTGGAGAGTTGTACTCGCGTGTTGTGCCTGACCTCTCGACCTAGTCTTCTGATTGGCTTGGTGCGGTGTGCGCGCAGGTGAAAACCGTTCACTGGGCTTTACACACACGAGATCTGATTAGGTTTGCCGGTGTTGACAGAGTTACTGTTGTGGCAGATGGCTGGTCAAGGTCATCTGGGCCGGCGACATTCGTGTACAGCGTGGACAAACAAAAGTAATCTGAAAATGCTTGCCTCCGAGAGCACAGGACAACAAGGCTAAACCACTCACTAGGTCAACCAGGCATTGGCACCTCAGAGGAAAAAGTGGTGCATTTGGATTCCCCTCGAAAATTCCATCATCAGAAAAAAAAACAGTTTACGTGCGGTTGCAAACAAACAACATCACTGAGAATGCAATACAATCACTCAGGCGTCTCATAAAACGTTAGCTGAAATTCCGAACGGCCATTTCAGTTTTGACGGATTACTGAGGCAGGCTTGTGAGTTTGATTACTCTGCAACAGAATCCAAAGATATTTCAGTCACGAGGGGATACTGGCTTTTGAATGCGGTTCTTTTCGGCCGTCTCCAGAAAGCGAACTCGACATAAACGACTACTTAAGCAGTATAAATATTTGCTACTGATTTTCGACGCCCTTATAAATTCAGGCGTATTCCACACGTAGCATTCAAAAAATTCAATAGGGCTCTAGCATGCAGGACCTCTTGCAAACCAACACTCGAGGTCTTCTTTAATAGGGGAACAGTGGTAATTGGGGGTGGGGGGGGTTATGGGCGTGAGAAAATGGCATAAATCCAGCAGCCTAAGTCCCAACTCCAGAGACTTAACAATAACATGGACAATAACCTGAAAAGTGACTGATCGGATTCTGACTCCCGGTGTTACGCGACTACCTAAATAACGCAAGTAGCCAACAGCACAGTAATAAGGACGTGGTTCTGCACGGCAGATCCTTACCAACTCTTCTTCATGCATTCGTTTTTCACAAAAGGTGTGTTTCTATCACACTTTCTTTTCGGCGGGGGGTATCTTGCAGTTTGAAATCTATTTCAGTTCTCGAATAATTTTGAACCCGACCTGTCGTCGCACTCGCGTCTAGGGCTTCCGAACTACAAATGGTGCGCCTTCAATTTAAGAAAGGGATATGTACATTCCTCCGCACTTTTGGGAAGATATAATAACACCTTGCAATGAATAAGGATCATGTCATCCAATTCATAAGCAGCATTTCTAAACGTGCAGATTCGAGTATACGTGAGTAGACATTCCACGGTGCTAAAAAATCTCATAAATACAAACTTCCTTCAAAACAAAAGCTACTCATTCTTCGAGGGGAGAATGAAAAAAGACTTAGCTCACCACAGGAGTTCAAAAAATTATATTTTTGGTCACGCTTTCTATGCAATATGTTTGAATTTATAAGACCATCGAAATCACACAAAATTTGCAGGTGCACATCGCAGGAGCAGTTTGATAGTCTCGACTGCCGGGTCCTGCGACGAAACGGAAAATTCGTCTCAGACATGCCCAAATCATCCAACTCCTGAAGTTCTGTCTCAAGACGTACTTTACGTTCGAAGAAACCATCTACGAACAGTTGAAGGGCACGCCAATGGGTTTGCCGACTTCAGGACTCATAACCGAGGCGGTCATGCAACGGTTGGAGTCGCTGGTTTTCCGACATCACAGACCGAAATGTTAAGCTCGGTATGTGGACGATACCTTCGTCGTCATCGAAGGCAATCAGGTGCTGACACTCAAAGAACGTCTCAACGCCGTCTTTCCGGACACTTAATTTACGATTGAAGAGGAAGAGAACGACCAGCTGGCCTTTCTGGATGTCCTCGTTTGCCGCAGAGATTGCGATGGCCTAAGAACCAAAGTGTTCGTGAAAGCAAAAATGCGACGCAAACACTGAACTTCAACAGTAACCACCAATCAGTCACAAACATAGTTTTTTTTATTTCTGGTGCATGCTTCTTCCGTTGGTTTGCCCAGTTCAATTTATAAACGGGAAGTTATTTCTAATAGAATATAAAGGGTTTATACTGCATAACTGAGCGAGAAATGATTATAAGAATGTGGGGAAGTTTATGAGGGCTTGAAATATATAAGAATAGTTGTAAAAACGTGGAGATTTAATTCGCGGACTTTAACATCCGAGGGGAGTTCTGGAACGCAACCCCCATGATCGGATAGGGATCCCCATATTCAAAATGTTTTTCTATTCGCTTGGTACGCAGAGCCCTGGCTAAATTCGTAATTACGCGCATTCTAATGTGGCGGGCTATCGCAATACGGTGACTTATATAAATATATTTGAACCGACCGGCATATTTTGTGGGCAGCACTGATCGAGGTGTGGAGATAAGCACACATTTGTGTCCAATGTGCATGAATTAGGAGTTTTTCGTCAAACCCACGTAGTTTGTTTGTAGATGTATGCCTTCCGGAAGACGTGGATTCGAGTAGGAATCCGAAACGTCAGACTAATAAAGCTCTTGTCCCGGCGATCGTGTCTCCTTCTTCAAGACGTGTTTCTATGCCAAACGCCATTTTTTGCACAACTTACATTATCGAGAACCAGAAACTCCGTCCTCTGCATCATACTACTGCGTAACAACTTCAGTAATCACTTCGTTTTCGTAGGAATGTTTAGGATTGAGTCGGGAATTCAGGCAGCTTGATGCCTATTCTACCCTTTTCGTCCAGTCAAGTGCAAATCAAAGCCTGTCTTGAAGAATTTATTTTTTGAGTTGAGACTATTCAGTTTCCCTTTCCGAATGGAGATGGACGATACTGACTCACCAAAATTATCGAATTAAAGACTTCGGCAACCTAAAGTGGTGACCAAACTATCTCACACCTGAGACTTGAACGTCGAGGGAGGTGGGAAGAAGAGTATTGGATGACTTTCCCGTGTTACTTCCGTTAAATTCCCTTATTTCATTTACTTAGTCTTCGTCCCGCCTAGTCGCACCCCGTCGAATGTCCGACATCGAGTAGAGAGCTGTCGCTTTTTCGAGAAAATCTGCCGAATTTCATCAAGCCCCGTTTGTCCTTCAGCCGAAAATCCTTGTCAGACGTAGTCTGTTTAGTAGAGTTTCCGCTCAGTTCTGCCTAGTAACCCACTGTGTCATATTTAGCGAATACACCATTTCGAGGGCAGAGCACCCCGTGCTGGTGTAGCGTGACTTCTACGTTCATTTTTGTTCCTGCTTCAGTATACCCTTCAAAATGTTGTTACGAGAGTACTATGCACAAGGAAGAAGCGGCGTCACGATATCTCCCTGCGACATTTTCTTCTGGTAGAAGAAAGATTTTGCCGCAAGTGCAACTGGGCAGTGATATTCACGAACAAGAAGGTTCATGGAAAGGGAAAGAACTCGTCCACTATTGTGATCTGGACGAAAGACTCCAGTTACTTTATTTCTGGAACAACGAATGCATAAGAATATTCAATCTTTTTCTCTTACGGGTGAAAATTACACCTTCTTCAAATTTTATACTTGAAGTAGGGGTATAATTTGGTTCAAAAACGTTTCTGGTTATGAGACATTTTCAGACCTTGCAACGCCCGTTCACAAAACATTGCGTCTCCACACTTCTTAATGTTGCTTGTAAAGTTTACAATATGGCTCAAATCCGCTGCTAAATTTTATGGGTTCCGTATAGTTTCCTCTTAATACTGTATAGAAATGTATGATTTTTCGAACATATAAACATAAAATTCGTAGTTTGGAAACCAAAATGCATGATAAATGGCAGGTCAAGTTCGAAATTATTCAGGAATTGGAAAAGCTTTTTGAAACCATATTATGCTCCTTCTATAAGTATACAATTCGAAGAAGACGTAAGTTCCCTCTAAATGGGTAAAAAATGAATTTTTTCAAGTACGCTTTTTATGAAACACAATTGACTTCATCGGGCATCGAAGGTCAATGAGAAAAACTCATGCAACATATGTAGTTTCTACAGGCAGCCGGAAAGAAATTCATTCAAAAGCCGACATCTCGAAGTAACTGAATTGTTATGAAATTATACTGTACAATAATTAATCTTACGACCCTACCTGGGTAATCCTTTCGAGTCGAAAACGCATTCCTAATTTTCAGTTAGCATTTCATGTGTTAGCATATCTACTGTACCTCTAAAACAGCCGAATGCCACTGGACGAAATTCCAAATCTTACTGGCAGGTCCACAAATACTGTTCAGTTACGGCCGGGAAGTCTGCCCCAGAATGGTATCCGTCGCTAGGAGAAAGAAGGTGAATGGAACATCGGAAAACCCTATTGAAATCAACGACACCAGATTTGCAGGGCGCCGTATGTACAATCGCAGCCGTCTTCTAGCTGGAGGTGCAACCGTCGAAGGGGGCGATGGCGATCAAGTGCAAAATTATCGAAACCACGGCTCGCGTACGGATTTAAGGTACTTCTACATACGCGAGCGAACTGCAGCGACGTCAATCCGTATCAATAAACGCGAAGAAGAAGAAGAAGAAGAAGAAGAAGAAGAAGATGATGATGATGATGATGATGATGATGATGATGATGATGATGATGATGATGAAGAACAAGAACAAGAAGAAACGGGTTAGTCAATACATTCCGACGAATAAACCATTTCTCCAGAACTGTCAGGTTGTGTACGGTCACAAAATTGTACATCAAAAGGACAATTATGTTGATGTGAATACAGGTGAGCCTACCCGACGGCAAAATTGAGCTTTAGGAGAAAACTAGCGAAGTTCTATAGTACTAACTTCGGTCAGATGTGATTATGTAGCCGCACCTGAGGTAAGCAAACCCCAGCCCCCTTTTATACGGGACCGGCCGTAATAGGGGGTTTTTACAGGTGGGGCCCACGAACGCACAGGCGAACCCCTAAACCTAACCTCTGACTCTGCCCCTAACCTCTAACCCTAACCCTAAACCCTGGCCCGCTTACCCTTACCCCTAACTCCAACCACAACCCTAGCTCTTAGCCGCAGCCCTAAATCTTAACCCTGAGACATCCAACGCGAAGATTAGAAGGAGACAACGGGCAGAAAATCAAGAAGAACCACCGGCATTGGGCCGAAAAAAGGTTGACACAGCAACAACGAAACAATGCCGCCAACCGAACACAAGCCGCAACGCACAGCAAGGCCATGCCAACGTAATTACACCAACTCAAATTAATAAATTAGGTCAGCTGTATTGTGCCCATTAGGTGCGACTACATAACCACATCTCAAACTGATCAGAAGAAGAAGCGATCGCTGGAACAATGGCTTTATTCGCCTGACGTTTCGGATTCTCACTTAAATCCATCATCAGAGACAGTTGCAGAAAAGGGTGGCTCATGTACAGGAAGTCGCAGTATTTATAGGATGCGGTCGCCATGCTACCGCATACCTACAGCAATTAACCGTGCTCCCATCATCAAGGATTGTTGCCCGCTGGCGCGCTAATTGCTTGATGGCCGGCATGCAATTTGTTAATTGTCGAAATGTCATCACCCGTGTTGGATGCTGGCGTGATGATTGCTCGGCCATCTGGCTCGCCGGCTTGCGAGCTCCTCGAGAGGTCAATTGCTTTGGCCAGCACAGAATATGGAGTGGGAATGTCGTTGCACTTGTTGATAGACTCAGGTCCCGTGAACCATGACTCAAGCAACTCGCGGCTCACACGATTATCTTCTCTCGCGAGAATTTCGGCCTCATCGAACTTGAATGTGTGGCCGGGTCTCGTCGAATGGGCCGCGACCTGAGAGTTGGCGTCATTTCTCCGTACAGCGGCCACGTGTTCGGCGATTCGTGTCCAGAGCAGTCTTCCAGTTTCTCCGACGTAGTTGCTTTGTCCGCAACTGCACCAGATCCGGTAAACGACTCCAGATGTTTCTTGTCGTGGCAGTGGGTCTTTTGGTCTCATCACTTGACGCCTCATGGTGGCCTCCGGTCTGTGCGCAACTCTAACCCCAAGTGGTGCAAGAAGGCGACTAACGGCCTCGAAGACGTTCTTGATGTACGGGATCGCTCTCCAGAATTTGGGGTCGGTACGGTTTTGTCGCTCGTCTCGTTTTCGCAGGCACCGGTTGACGAAGTTGCGCGGGTAGCAATTTTCTCGGAAAACCCGTCGAAGATATTGGGATTCGGCAACCTTGTCTCCCGGTTCACTGCAGTGCGTCTCAACACGCCGATATAGCGTTCTTACGCAACTGCGTTTGTGGCTGATTGGGTGGTTACTGTTGAAGTTCAGTATTTGCGTCGTGTTCGTCGCTTTTCTGAACACACTGGTCTTTAGGCCACCACAATCTTTGCGACAGACGAGGACATCAAGGAATGCCAGCTGGTTATTCTCTTCCTCCTCCATCGTAAATTGTATGTCCGGGAAGACGCTGTTGAGACGTTCTTTGAACGTTAGCACCTGGTCCCGTTCGATGACGACGAAGGTATCGTCCACATGCCGAGCCCAGAATTTCGGTCTGTGGTGTTGGAAGACCAGTGACTCCAGCCGCTGTAGGACCGCCTCGGCGATGAATCCCGAAATCGGCGAGCCCATTGGTGTTCCCTTCACTTGCTCGTAGATTGTTCCGTCAAACGTGAAGTACGTCCTGATACAGAACTTTAGGAGCTGAAGGACTTGGGCGTGTCCGAGACGATTCTCCGTTTCATTGTATTTGTTTCTTAGGAGTAGCTAGACGGTCTCGATTGCCAGATCTTGGGGGATAGAAGTAAAGAGGGACGTGACATCAAAAGATACCATGACCTCATTTGGCAAGAGACTTACTCGTTTAAGCTTCTCCAAGAATTGCGTTGACGAACAGACAGTGGTGTCCGAATCAGCGGTCAGAAATTTGAGGCGCCGAAACAGCCATCTTGCCAGTCCGTACATTGGAGTGCCTTTGAGAGATACAATGGGCCGGGGAGGAGCACCCTCCTTGTGCACCTTTGGGAGACCATAGAATCGGGCCGAGGCTGTTTCTTGGGCTCTCGCCATGCGTCGGTCGGTCGGTGTTATTGCACCCGAGTTCTCCAATGCCAACGTAATTACACCAACTCAAATTAATAAATTAGGTCAGCTGTATTGTGCCCATCAGGTGCGACCACATCTTAAACTTTCTTCAAGAACGCTTGAGTGAATACTGCTGGCGAGATTTGAAGAGATAAAGATCACCTCACAGCAATCCTACGCGACTATGAAGAAGTATTTTCTTGTTTACTTTTTTTCCTTGAAGTCACATTTCATTCTCACAATACTGATGACATATTTTAAGTCGGATTCTGGTTTTTGACCAGTGCATTTTAGCACAGAAATAACATTATAATAAACACCGATGGTAGGCCTTAGGCTATAGTAGCAGCGAACACCCTACTCATCTGAAGTTTGGTACTTACTTTCAAGTACACCCTGAGGGAGCACTGTAGCCCACCGTCACGCCCTACAGCGTCAAGGTCATCCACGCCCACCTGTCAGCCGCGCGTTGACCTTACTGTCTCACCTACTGCAGCGCGGACGCACTTGCCTGCTTCAGAGTACTCTTTAAAATATTGTTACCATAGTTTTATGCACAAGGAAGAAGCGGCGTCACGATATCTCCGTGCGAAATGGTCTTGCCGCAAATGCGATTAGTCGCTGATGTTCTCGAACAAGTACAGTGAGTGACCTATCTCATGAAATGTTGACTGAAATTCTGAAATGCGTTTTCGATTAGGAAGGATTACTTGGTCGCGGTTGTGATACTGATTATCTTGAGGTATACGCTGATAACATTTCCGACTCGGCAGGATGTCGGCTTTCAAATGCACTTCTTTTCAATCTCCTGTAGAAAGCGTGCTGGGTAAAAAATGACTACTTAAGTAGCATGCATTTTTTCCCATTGATTTTCGATGGTCTTGGAAATTCAAATATATTTTATAGAAACCACAAACAAAAACACGCTTTCTTTTAGTTAATCAATAGAGAATCACGTCTTCTTTATATTTTATACCTAAGGATGGAGTATAATTAGGTTGTAAAAAAGTTTTCCAATTGCCGAATAATTTGGAGCCTGATCATTCACTGCATTAGCGCATAGTGATTTTAGTCTACAAGGTGCATGCGTTCCGCATAAAAGAAGTCACATATTTTTCCGTGCCTTTAAATAGATACCATAAAGAGTCCATAAAATTTTGCAATGGATGCGGACTTTGCCATACATTTCATGAGGAGCTGTGGTAAACGGCCAGGTACGACGCTATGTGAATGGACATTGCGCGGTCTTAAAAAATCTAATAATTAGAAACTTTTTCAGAACCTGATTATACTCCTCCCTTGAGAATAAAATCTAAAGAAGAAGTGATTCTCTATCAATTGACTGAAAGAAAGCATATTTTCGTTTATGTTTTCTATAAATTATATTTGAATTTCCAGGACCATCGAAAATCAATGGGAAAAATGCATGCTACTTAAGTAGTCATTTTTTACCCAACACGCTTTCTACAGGAGATTGAAAAGAAGTGCATTTGAAAGCCGACATCCTGCCGAGTCCGAAATGTCATAAGAGTACTGCTCAAAATAATCGGTATTACAACAGCGACCAAGTAATCCTTCCTAATCGAAAATGCATTTCAGAATTTCAGCCAACATTTCATGAGATAGGTCACTCACTGTAGGTCCGTGGAGGTATGGAGGTGCAGAGGAAAGGGTCACCAGTCTGTTCGATAAGGGGAACGAATTCTTCAATTTCGTAAGTTGTACGGATGAAGTTCTGTGCGAAGCGTTTGAGCTAGCTTCCCCTGAACTTACCGAATGCCAAATACTGTGTTTGACCTGTTCACCTACGGTCGGGTAGTCTGCCCCGAACTGGTGCCTATCGCTAGGAGGGCAAAGATCAATGAAAATCCGAAAAACTCAATTCAAATCGACGAGGCCAGATCCGCAGGACGCCGTAAGTACAGTCATGGCCGTCTTCTAGATGGGGGTGAACCTGTCGAAGAAAGCGATGGCTACCAAGTACAGAATTATCGGAACCACGGCTCGCGCATCGATGGTCAACAGGTCCTTGGATTGTGACAAGCTACCGATGCCAGTTCTGCATACACAAGCGAGCTGCAGCGATGTTGACCCCTATCATTGGACCTTCCGATGAATGACCAACTTCTCTGCGACTTGATCAGTTGTGTACGATCACAAAACTGCCTATCACCAGGACCGTTAGGTCGATGTGAATACAGGTGATCTCGTCGAGGTGACTTAGTTAGACAGCAATATTGAGATTTAGAAAAAAAGTAACTCAGTTCCACATCGATTACTTTAGCGACACTTGAATGAATATTACTGGTGTGTACCGAAAGGAGGCAAACACTACTTTGCGGTGATATTGAAGAAGTATTCTTTTGCATACTTGCTGTTTTTTTAAATTCAAATTTAGTTTGCACAATACTGACGACATATTTTAAATCGGATTCTGCTTTTAGGCCAGTGCATTTCAGCATAGAAATCACGTTATCATAGAACACTGGTGATAGGAATTACGCTATAGTAGCAGCGAACACCTTATGCAACTGACATTTGGTACTCACTCTCAAGTACATCCTTGGGGGGGGGGCACTGTAGCCCACCGTCACGCCCTACAGAGTCAAGGTCATCCACGCCCCCCTGTCAACGCGCTCAGCTGCGCTGACCTCACCTCCTGCAGCACGGACGCACCTGCCTGCCGTATCGTAACACAACACCTAACCACCAGACAGTAGAGCTGGATCCCACAAGCCTATAGGTGCGAATGACACCACGGTCACACACACACTCTTTCTCTCTCTCAGGCATTGATTGACACAGTCGGCACGTGCCCTGGCCCCGCCAACTTTGCCTGAGACAGCAGCCCATAGTTATGCACAGAAGAAGTCCCGCCTTCTCAATACAGTCGATGACCTAACCCATGAAATCTCGAGATCGGTATCTGAGTTGGTGGGATGGCATATATTTTGTGTGCGGTTATTTTTGTTTTTTTAAAATTGATTGAAATCCTGAAAAGCCCTTGTCTAAAGAAGAGGTCATGGTAGTTTAGGTTCATTGAGGGAAAACGGACGAAAATTAGGCAAATCTTGACGTCTCCGGATATCCACTTGATTTCCTATTCTAATAAGTATCCCCCGTTGAAACCTCTTATTTGCAGGCGTTGTGTTATAAGGGAACTTTCATGTAACAAAGAAAAATATCAGAGAACGCCACTCCGAAGATGGAAATTGTGATTTTTAGTTCATGAAAATCAGATCAAGTCAAGTGTGTAAAAACGCATTATTCTCCTGAATCAAGAAGCAAGTTGCTTTTCATAAATTTTATTTAGCAAAACTGTAACGTTTTCTATCGTTAAACTCAGTAATAAGCTTGTTCGACAGTATTTGTTTTACCACACCGGGAACTAGTAGGCGTAAACACATATATATATATATATAGAGAGAGCGCGCTACATGCTGCCATCGAAAGTCTTTTTGCACTAACCAAAAGAAATTGGAATAAAGCAAGAAAACGTCTTTCTATGGAGCAGCAGTTGGAATTTTTGCTTTATACTTACGTAGACCAAACCACCTTAGGCAACTTAGTAGTCTCCATGCCTTCTCGCCTTACGCCACCTTTAAAAGCTAAAGGACAATCGACAAAGTACTGATACGTTGTACTTGTTACTGTTTTTCATCTTTTTATCGTTTTATGACATTCTCCTTCTCTGCTGGCAGTTATATTAGGCCTTGAATAGTTGACCTGTTTTAGAGTCGTTTCCTTGATTTGGTGGTTTTTCATAAAATAAATTATTTCTTAATCAATACATAATACTTTATAAATCAACTGTACCTTATTTTGACGATCGGTCGTAACTTAGACGCATCATAACTTTCGTGGATGCGGGTGGGCGTTTCGTTCGCTACAGTGATTTAAGTTCACAGTTCGTGACCTTTCATCAGATAGGTCACGAACTGTATCCTCGATGTGTACTCACTGAGAACTGGTCTGCCCACTGTGGTGGTTAAATTGAACTGGGTGCAGTGATAAAGTTAAGTCTCAGGCAACTGTATAAGGCAGAAGACCTCAGAACGGGGATTTTGTTCTTTAAGAAACTATGAGCCTCGGAAGAGGCCAGGGCGTACAATAAGTGATCGACGCCATGAAATGTTGACTGGACTTTTTGAAATGCGCCTTTGATTACAAAGGATTACCTAAGTGAGGTTGTAGGATTGATTATCTTGTGATATAGTCGCGTGACGTTCCAGACACGTCAGAGTGCTGGCCTGGAAATGCAGTTCCTTTCGGCCACCTACAAAAAAACCCATTCGGTAAAAGTGCCTACTTTAACACCATGCATTTCCTCTATCGATTTCCGATGCCCTTGTAAATTCAAATATAATTTATAGAAAATCCAGGCGAGGTTTTGTCTTGTAGACCCACGTGATTTATACGGTATGGTTAGCTTCCTAAGACAATTTTAGTAGGTCCGACTATGTTACATTTACATATATCACGTGTTGGCACCTTCCTTACCATTTTAATTCGACGAGTGTCTGTGCCTCGGCGGTGGGAGTACTTAT